GATAAATTTAAAAACTTTTATTAAGAGTAAAGTTCACTTTGAATTTCATAAAAGTTTGCAAAAAAATACTTTATTTTCCTTCCCTCTCACCCATTCGTTATAATTCTTACTTTATACTTTTTTCTTGTTTACGTATTCTTATAAATTGTTCAATTATATGATTAGTTTATATTATATATAATCATCTAAAATAGCTATTATTGTTATCAATTTTTTATTTATTTTTTTGTTTATTTTTTTTGATAGAGGAACTCTTTTCGCAACATAGGCAGACCAAAGAAAGAGCATAACAAAAACTAACAAAAACAACAACTTCACTCTTGCTCTGACACTCTAGAGCAACAACTAAGTAAAAAATAGAACACTTTACAAACTACTAAATCTGAAAGTAGTGTCTCCACCTTAAAAACACAAAATGATACTCTAATTATTATGAACGTTGACCCTCTTCTGCTCGATAAAGGAAAGGGCAAAGAAGTTTTAATAAGTGAAATAACTTCAGTTATCTCTCTAACCAGTCTGAAATGAATGTGAACAATACTAATGATGCTTCAGAAAATTTTTTGAACCTTAAGAAAAGTCCCTAAGAAATTTTCATCAAAAAAATGAATTTTTTTTTGGCAGACAATTACCTTGAAAAATCCTCTCAAACAAAAATTTCTGACATTACTGACCTTGTTTTTGACTAATTCAATTCATTTTCAGGTGTTATATGTATCAAATACCTAGAGGATCAATCGAAGAAAATCTTAAAAGTAACTTTTTCTAATAAAGTAAAAAAAGACGTGTTTTGCAAAGTTAACTTGCTTAATTTAGATAAACGCACGTTTTTACCCGTCAATATTATACCAAAACATCCATTTATTTCACAATAATCAATTAAAGTTACTGAAATACTATTGGACGCTACAGAAATTTGTATTAAAAAAATTTTCTTCTAATTTAAAAAGATCGTTAGATTCACTATGAAAACTAAAAATCTCTAGCAATAAGTAATGATTACGTATAACACTGATGCTAATTTTGTTGAACTCAAAAAAGGTTATAATATCTTCCATCTCAACAACATAGTTCAGTTCCACATGTGTGACTTATCACGTGATAAAATTCTAGAACGCTTAAAATTCTCAGCTAAACTTATATGCTTTTCCTATTTCACTATGAATAAAGACTTATCTGAACTTGGCTTAATGGTTAATATTATAGCCTAGATTATCCTTAAAGCCAGATTAGATTATCATAATTTACAATACGTTTTCTTCTATTTTTCTACAGCGGATGATCATAAAGCAGTAATTAACAAATAACAACCTTACTATCAATAGTAAACATGTAGAATAGACTGAGACCAAAGTCTGATTATATGTAATTTGTTCTTCATTACATCTCAAGATTAGAGATTGTTTAAAAAAGTATCGCATATTCTAAGACCGCAGCATTCAAAACCTATACCAAAGATTTCAGCTTATATAATACAATAACTATAAAGCTACTGTTCACTCTCATAGAGGCACAACTAGTCCTAATATCACTTTTACTAGCATCATCACAGATAGTTCATATGAGAAGACCAAACCTATCATTAAACCCTTAACAATATGATCACTTCAAGAAAATGCTCAAAATGGTCCCCCAAAACAACCCAGTGATATAAGCATATTGTGAAATGATAATATTCCTCCAAACATGAAATGACAATATAAATAACCATAGTAGCAATATAAATCACGTAATATCTCTGTAGAGACTAAAGCAGGAGACTCCATATATGAGAAAGATACTAACGCTGACTTTAAAGACTTCATCAAAGCTAGCTTTCTACAACTTATCTAAAAACTCAATGATCTTATAGTTACCCTCAGTTCTACTATAAAACAAATGGAAACAATAGAACAAATGCTTAACATTAAAGTCAGCTATTTGGATGAGGAAACTATGAAAAACTACGACATAGAACAGTACAGAAACAGCCCAGTTATTGATGCCTCCACCTCAGTAATTAACAAATAAAGATGTATAATTGCTATACTTAAAGAGATCACAGACGTATAAAACGGTTAACACTTTGGTTAGCACTTATAATACATTCTGTGTCATTCTCATCTATAACAATTTGTTATAGATAGATAAGACATTAACATCATATGCTCTTAACACTGCTTATAATACAGAAGTAGACAAGGCTCTTAAAAACCTTTCTCAATTTTAAATTTATGAATTATGATTACTCTACAGATAATAGTTTAAATTATTTCTCTTCATAACTCTATTCTAATATAATCACCCTAATATTTTAAAACTATCTTTCACAACTCACAACATTCGATTATTTACCAATGTTACTAAACAATATTACTTATTTTCCTTATATTTCTCACAATATAGATATTATTAGTCTCTAAGAAACTAATTTCAAATCACAAAATGACAAAATTTTTAATCTTTCATATCTATCATTTATCTTTTTTTTCAATTCAATATTTAAATAAAGAACAGCCTTTAACGTAGGCCTTATATTAAAGAAAAATATCGCTCACCACATCTTCAAACATGATATAAAATTTGACAAAATCATCTATGTTGATCTGCAATTTGCAAACAAACAAAAACTTCACATAATCAACTGTTACTTATTGTCTGCAGACTAAAAACCAAAAATGAAGTACAAAAAGTTTTAATAAGCTAGATCAAAGATGTCTCTTCTAAAGATTTTCATGTAATAGTCTTAAAAGATTTTAATATAGATATAGATAGGAAGTATAACTCCACAAATACTTTAATCTACTTTAATATTTTATATAAAATGTCACTTTTCGATTCTTTTACACTTAAGCATGATTACGCAAGAGTTAATTTTCCTACTTATAAATCAAATCATGCTTTTTTCAAGAATTAATTATATATGGATATCTGCTAAAGTAATATTGAATATTTTAGATTGCTTCATCATTCTGTTTGGTATAGACCTATCTGACCACCTTCCTGTTATTTTTATTATCACAAATTTTTTGGACATTAAACTCAATAAGAGAAGAATTTCAACAAAAACAATTTTTGATTTTGATAAAATAGATGATGTTAAATGGAGCAATTTTGAAAATAGACTGAACGCTTTATTGAATAGAAGTTCAGTTAAAATAATTAATATAGATATATTCTAGACATAACCGTTGCTTAACAAACATTAGGACTAATTTTAAGATCTTTTGATTAAAATTGTGAAAAAAGTTATTTCTGTTAGAAAATCATCAGGCCAATTTAAATATCCCAGACTGTCTGCACTCTCAAAACTGTATATTCATCAAAAAGTCTCTTAAAATTCAACAGATTATTGCTCAAAATTAAAAGAGGTAACTCATTTTCCCTATACTGGACTCGAATCTATGATACATATATTAACACAGCTAATTTACTAACTTTTATCACAGCTTATCTTACGCCTGATTTTCCATTTGCTTTTATAGATCTTTTAATTTTAGATATCTAACTATTGCTAAATTATATGAAAAAGATTATAAACTGCAATCAATACAACGTGTTTTGAACTAACAATTAGAAGATTATGCATACCATCCAAGAAAAATGTTAGATTCTGTTTTAAAGGACTATTGTACTTGATAGATATTTGTCAACGAATACATGTGATCTTTTAATTGATGAAATATTTGTAAAACAAACCATAAATAACCACTTTCAAAAAGTCGCAGGCATCACTCATGAAAATAAAGAAATTCCTGAAGAATGGTGGCTGATCTATCATTCTATTGATAATATTAACCCAATATCTACAATAATCTTATGTCACCTCCGTCAGCTGAAGAATGGTATAGTATTGTTAAATCCCTCACTGATAGCAAAACGCTTAGCCTTTCTAAAATATCAAATGAAATGCTTAAACATTTGGACCTGTTAGCCAAGAAGATTTTTTGGCATTTAATATGTGGATGTTTGAAATTATCATCATTGCCTTATCATTAGAACTTAGCTTATATTTACACAATTTTCAAACTGAAACTATGGGAATTCAACTTCAATAACACAAGACCGATCACTTTGCTAAAATGCTTAAGAAAAGCATTTATCAAACTTATCAATAGATGGCTTTTGACTATAATTATGTAAAATAATATTCTTAAAGGACATAATTTTGCAGGATTGTCTTTTCGCTCTACCTTTGAGCTCATACATATCATTGACAATATCAAATATAATACTTTCTCAAACAAAAAGGAACTCTGGATATTATTACAAGACATGTCAAAAGCTTACAACTATGTCAATGTATTCATGTTAATCTGTGTATTAGAACACCTAAAGCTGTCTAAAGAATTTATCTTCTTCATTTTTAATAAGTTCGTCTCATAAAAAAATCAAGTTTTCATGTTTTTTGGTAATATTGATATATACAAAGTCTTCTCAGGTATTAATCAAGATAAAATCATTTTATCCCTACTTTAGTGTATTTACTATGACCTGCTCTTGTGTAAAGTGCAGTCATCTAACCTAAGTTATACTATATTAAAAAAATAGCAACCTGATATACACACTAGTTCTTTTAGTGAAATTATATGTAAAACATTCATTTTAGCTTATATGGATAACACATTATAGATTACCAAGTCAAAATAGGATCTTGATAACATTATTATTATCGCTAACAGTTTTTACAAACTAATTTACCAGATATTCAATATGTACAAATAAATGTAAATAGTTCTATCTAAACTATCACCTCAATCAAGCCTAAGGATTCAGTACATTACCTCAGTGTTTAGATTTCACTTCATCACAACAATAATTTTATTATCAATCTGGCTATACAGGACATTAAATTCACAATAGCTTTGTTATCAACTAAAAAACTTACAGATAAACAACTCACTTACACGTTTAATATAGTTGTGATACCTCATATAGAATACTGTACATAATTGACTTACCTTTCTGAAACTACCTTAGAATGAATAATCAAACCCTTTAGAGTCCTTCTGAAGAAGAAACTACACCTTTCAAGAAATATACCATTGAGTATTTTCCATTCAAAGCTATTCTTTAAAATCACTCATTTATTCTATAGATATATATAAGCCCTCAGTGACGCATTATTAAACTCTGTAAATAACACTAGCCTTTTAGGTTTAATTACTCATATTTGTCTACATCAACTTCAAACTGACGAATGGCTTCCTGTTTCCCCCCTTTGTGTATGGCCTTTCAACATTTTTAAAAATTTCAATAACTAGATTCTTACATTCTTATGTAATCTTAAGAAACTCAATATAAGTTTAATGACTCCTAATCAATATAATTATCGCATATTAAGTAGCTTCATCCCAATACTTTCTGTTATTTTACATTACTACAGAAAGCTTTCAATCACCTTAGCTAAGCATTCGTTAATGTTCATAAAATAACTCATTACTAGTAATAGAAAATTTTTTTATACTATTAATGATCTCTGATTCTTTCCATTGTTTTCTAGCAGAGGTAGAATTCCCTTATAATACCAGGCTATAAAAAAGGTTCTCAACATAAATGAATTTCAACAACTACCTCCTAACATAGGATTCTCATACAATACTAACTACAGTTATCTCACAATACTTCCAAATATCAATTTACATAAATTTGTTTATGTTATCAGTTAGAATCACAATATTAACAATATACTTTTGGACAAATCTTTAAAGTCTTTAGCAGTTATGTTGATATCATTCATTATACATATCAGATAATCAACATTAACATTATACTCCAGAAGTATCCTAGTTGTTCTTGATAATCTTATATAATTCAGAACAAACTTATTGGAATTAGCCAAATATAAATATGTATTTGCCATTCTGACTAGTGGTTGTATAAATATCACTCTCAACAGCAGGAAAAAATAACATACCCACCTCTGATCCTTACCTTTTATGAAAGATTTCACCTGTCACGTGTTTACAAAATACAATAATCATTCAATTTCAACCACTTTTAATTATCATTACTCTGCTTTTCCTTCTTTTATTCACAAGTTTATTTTTTTGCATGTGTAAATAATTACTAACTCTAATACAGCACTTCATTGATACTCAGAATTTAGAATTTTATACAGATAGCTCTCTTTCTGGTTTAGGTTCTCTGTCAATTAGAATGAGTCTAGCTTAATTACAAATGAACTTTATGTCACCAGTGGTTTCTTATTTAACTGTATTTATCATCTCATTTCTGTTATTTTCAGTAGCTAAATTAGCAATTATTTTTACTGCTATCATTGTCGCTTCTAAGAAATGTCAAGTAATCGTTAAAACAGACTTACAAGTAGTCATCTAGTAATTCAATAAATTCAAAAATCTTTTGAGTTACTCTCCCTTAACCTGTTCTCTGTTAAAATCAACAGCTTCCCCCTGTGATTTAGTCTATTTGATATCATCAAATCACAGAATCTCAATATCTGTCTTCAAAAAGTTAAAGCATATTCTGGAGACATGTTCAATAACAAAGTAGATTAACTAGCAAAGAATTGCTATTACTCTACCGCTCTTTATATTGATCCTTTTCTTATAGAGTTATATTATTTTAAATACAAAGGAATGAATATTCCAAACTCCATCTGTCCATTTATTAATAATATCACACAATTAATATTTTACAATAAATTTTAACATCTTCATATGATTAGCAAATACAATTACCTAAAGGTCAATTAGCCTACTATAGCCTTCTGTATCAATAAAAATATTACCAATGCATATACTTCATATGAAGCTTTGACAGTTAAGAAGAAGAAAATCTAAAGGTTACCAGAATTACTCCCTACTATGAAAATACTCAAACTCTGATATCTAAATTTATTCAATATGACATGGCTATGTGTCAGATGTGACTATGTAGATGAGACTTTCTTGCACATATGAGAATATCCGCTCTTATGGAATAAAATGAAACTGATTATTAAAAACTCTCAACTATATCTCCTTGAGTTAACTAAAGATAATAACTCTACTGCTAATTTATATGCTTTACCTATCTGGTACATGTCTACTCAAAATTCTCCATACTTACTTACTCTTATCAAAGGAATTGTCTCACAATTCTTGTATAACTTCATAAAGCAAACCATAGGTTTGAATGAGCTTATCCTAGTAACCTTATTAGCTTTCATGTATTTTATCTTTGAACAGTCATAACAAATTTGAATCAATAAATGCATGCAGCAAATTT